TTTTGCGACTATCCGACTCAAAGAGTTAATGTAATACACTGTTAGCTTGCTACAAAAAATTTATGACACTCACTGATGTCCACTGGAGTAGACATTCTGGATAAAGAGTTAATTTCGCTGTAGCTGTAAATATAGATTCTTTCCAAACCTATTGCACTGTTTTCGCAAAAGAAATGACAAGAAAAAGTTTCAAATAAAAATATTTTCATGTGTTGTATTTATTATTGTATGCTAACTCACTCCAATGATGCAAAAATAAAACTACTTTTACCGTTGTTGTTGAAGTTAGTAAAGAAAATCTTTTCAACTTTTCAAAAATAAATATCCGTCTTACTTTGTTTTAATTGACACTTGAATTACAATTAATTTGAAAGTTCTATTAAAATTCCTAGCTTAAATTTCTATGCGATTCATCTCGAATGGTTTCTTATCAATAGTAACATTAGACAACAAAATTAAGGTGACTTGTTCTCTTCTGAATTCTCTTCTATTTTCACTTTCTAAAGTGAGAGTAAATCGACATCTCTATGTAATATTCATTGTAAATAACGTGATTTCATTATTCATCAACTTCTATCAACACATACTTCTGTTGGCTGTTCCCCACAATTTTACTCAATAGGAAAAAAAACACCAACACAAAATGTGGCCGCTGGGAAGTGAGAAGAAAAGAAGTAATCTGCCGACTCGGTAAATAGTCGTTACGTTCAGTGTTCTTTCCTTTTTGTTTTGTTGGAAATTTCCCACCATTTTTCATTGATATATAAATATCTATGTGCATGAGCTATTATGTTTCATTTTCTTCAACGCGACAACTGACATTGTCAGATCCACATAAACGATTGAATATCATAATTATTTTCGCAATTTTTTAAGTAAGTAACTATTACTTGAATAATTTTCTTTAAGAGAGCATCGTTCTTCCTTATAAGAAATGTTCCTATAGTCTTAATTTCGAATGATAGCGTACCAGCATTCGATTGACGAAGGGAAGCAATTATCAACAAAGAAAACAATAGAAAGCATATAGAAGGATGCTTAGCTTTACAATTATTATCTGGTGATTGTAGACTTGTTGATAATGATTGAGAACTGTCTGTATTGTTAGAGTTGAATTCCTAAAAGAATTTATTTCCTAAGAGTTCAGCTCTATCCTTTTGTCTGTTATAAAATGATTTACAAATCAATATATTGGTAACACTGTTCTATTTTCGTTATGTAATAGAAAAGAAAAACATTATGTTATATATCATATTAGTTAGCTATTGCAGTTACTGACAATATCTGTCAGAATATTCTCGAGCTTCTCAGCTGAAGCATATCAAATCTATGATTTGTCAAGCTTAAGATTTTGAAGTTTTAGGTTTTTATAGCTGTCGCTTTCAATTCATACGGACAAGTTAAGATTACGTTTGGAAAATTTGAGTTTATGTATTTCAAGTGTGAGATTTAGCTGAATATCAAATAAGACGATTATTTAAAAGCATAAATGGTCATGAAAAACAACTACTCTTTCCCATAAACAATTTGATTGATAAGTTATATTATTTACATTTTCTCTAGTTCAATGTACTATTTCAAAATCTAATACGTTCTTTGCATGATGTATTATTACATTGACGAGAATTGAGAATGAGGGTGTAACAGCAATTTAAATCACCTTTGCACACGACCGTACACATTTTTCTAGCGAGTAAATGGGAAACATGTGGTAATACAAAAATAAAACGTTCTTATCAGACATCAGTGATGGCAATGAGTGGATGAGTGACACATTGAAGGACTAGAACACGTGCAGAATTTTGTTCACAATAATGATATACACAGGTATGAGATTGTCAACACAATTGCATCATTTTCTTTAACTAGATTTCGACCTGCTTTGGTAAATTTTCTGAGTTAAACTTATATGACTTTGACTGTAATCAGCTGTTTAAGTGGTTATTAGTCACCTGCTCAATCGTGTGCAAAGTAATTTTTAAGAATCACGGATTTGCATAGTTTTTGACAGTGTCAATGAACAGAAACACTTCAAATACTGCATCATACATAGTTTTCTCATAGCAGTTTATTACTTAAACTGATAGTTTTCGACGTTCACTTCGTCTTTGATGGTAGAGTTTCATTTTAGAACATTTTGCTAATATACATTTGCAGTGATTGATAGTTTATTGACTAAGTACGAGTTGCTCTACAAGCACATTGTTAATAACATTACTTTGAATTTCTGCGTAAAATTTATATATTAAACTACTACGACACTCGGATATCTGTTTTCGAAGCGATGAAGAGCAAGATATTCAAGAAAAGGTAGCTCTGCAATCTTAATTTGTACAGGCAATTCAACATTGTTTCATATATTTCTTGGTTTTTCTAGCCTGAACCAATATTAATCGCCAATGGCACACATTGGAAACGTTGATTCAAATGGACAGAGGGTATGTTGGGCGTAGTACGGCTTCTAGAACCTAGTTAAACAAAAATAATACAAAACATGTTTGTACTTGCTATACGCGCATATTATTATGCGACAACATATTTTCTAGTAGAAAACATGTTTATTCATCTAAATTTGTGCACTGTAAAAAAAATTCGTAGAATAATAAACCCTATGAAAAGGGTTTATTAAATTCCTAAACTCTTCACCGTATATTGATAAACCCTTTTATCGTTTATTATCAATTTCCTAAACCCTTTAAGAGTTTATGAAGCTTCCTAAACCCTTAAAAAGGGTTTATTATACGTTACACTTTCCTAAACCCCTAAGGGTTTATTAGATCTCCTAAACCCTTTTTTCACTCATAAACCCTTAGGGGTTTATGAATGTGTAACGTATAATAAACCCTTTTTAAGGGTTTAGGAAGCCTCATAAACCCTTAAAGGGCTTAGGAAATTGATAATAAACGATAAAAGGGTTTATCAATATACGGTGAAGGGTTTAGGAATTTAATAAACCCTTTTCATAGGGTTTATTATTCTACGAATTTTTTTTACAGTGTGCTTTCAACAGGTGAAAATGCGTCTGTTTTTTTCGTTTTTCTCGTTTTTGTCTGACTAAGCAGTGATCTCTCTATAAATTTATAACATTTATAGAATTATTCTTTTGAAATTTGATGTGAACTAAGTCAGTTAGGATAAATTTGAAAGCTACCTCGTTTTATTAGTCATAAACTTCATTGTCTTGTAAAGATATCAATGATAATTGAGTTTCACACTGTGTTTAGATATCTTCATCGTGCATTATGTGTTTGAGCTCTTTTGGTATTACACTCGAGTCAATACCACACGAATGTATTAACAAACAATGTAAGCAAAATTTTTGTAACAAATGTGTAAGACAAACACAAATGTACAATGGTAATGGACGACCTTTCAAATGTATGTATTGTTTACACGAATATCCTCCTAACGGTATACCAGTGGAAAACCAGCTGCTAAAAAACAAACTATGGCAAGAAGCGATACGTAAACATGGAATTCACCGCACAAGCTATTTACTCCTGCCGAACAGCAACATTGAAGAGCTGAAATTCGACATTGAATGTCGACGTCGTCATTTGTCGCATATTGTTTCCACGTACATTCGCTTCCAGGATCAGCCCCCAAGACAGGAAATTTACATACAAGCGACACGTATCATTAATGAACTCACGCAAATTGGTCAAGAATTAAATCAAAACCCGAATAGAATTCCCGTTTTGTGTAAAAATCGTTATAGAAGGTGCATTTCAAAGCCAAATGACGATAATGATGTTGGATCACTCTACATTGATATCTGTGAACGTTTACTGTTGAAAAATTCAGAGCTTGAGTTTTGTAAAATATTTCCAATAGCGACCACAAGAATGAACGAATGGATGCATCACGATAGTCTCACAGACGAGTTCCAACCGAAAATTCTTGATTTAACCATCGCTATTGAATGTGATCTGAGCAATCAGCGGGCGAATCCCCGATTCACTGCACGTACTAAAATCGGAGTTATCGGTTATACAAATGCAGGCAAAAGTTCTTTACTTAATCGTCTTCTCGGTATACATTCGTTGACCGACGATAATGCAGCACCTGTACGCAGCATCAAAAGTACTTATTATCGTCTACAATTCGATCGACAAAATCCATTAATCCATCCAGACAGACCAGATATAAGAGTGCCGGTCACATTTATCGATATACAAGGTCTCGACAGGGATAGACCTGCAGACAATGATCAGGTTAGACCAGGCAACTATTTGGACGAAATTGGCAAAGCCGATTGCGATATTTATATATTGGTATTTGATGAACAACTTCGTCATGAACAATATGACTGGATTCGCTATATTGAACAGACATTAAAACGCAAGTGCATTTTGGTACGATCGAAAGTAGACTCATGCTATTTGGCTAAATTTCGTGAAATTTGGAACCATCCTTTTGGCAGGAGCACACTAGAGGAACGCAGTCAATCGAGACAGCGTATCATAGATAGTATACGACAAGATAATGAAGTTCCATCGAGACAGGATATCATCGATAGTATACGACATGATAATGAAGTCCCATTAAGACAGGTCTTTTTGGCGATGGCCAACTATTCTCCGGATAGTACCGATATGGAAATGCTAATGGAAAATGAAGAGCTCGATTTCAATGGAATGTTTGACCATCTTAGTAATATATCATTCGACGCTCGTAACCATCGCATCCACTCGTTGGCCTTGAGAGTTACGCATCGTCTAGTAAATATTTGCTTTCGTCGTGCCTATGTACTCAATGTCCTCAAATATCAGATTGCTTCTGGAATCGCTGCTATAGTACCTTTTGCTGACAGGTTGCCTCTTTATCTATCAGAGAAAAATATTGAAAAGTCATTTGGCATCAACAATGAATTCTTGCAATATCTGACTCTATTTAACCTGTCCGTCGAAGAAAACCAGTTGCAAACATCAGTGTTTCAGAGAAGATTTGGGAATAATGAAAGAAGTAATGGCCAAATATTAACTGCACGTTCTTTGGTCATGGGAGCTGGTTATACTTTGACAGCTACCAGTGCGGTAGGTGACGATATCATTCGTATTGTCACACCAGCTGTTACAACAGCCGGACGTACTGCATTAGGTATTGGAATGTTTAGCATCGGTTTGGTTCTGTCAGCTGGTGTTTGTGCTTGGTCGGCCATCAGGAATGGCAAGCATATCTTTAGTTATGTAAACCGTATTTGTGACGATCTTATTGTGGTGATTGATGGAGTGATAGCGTCAGTCATTGAATGAAAATGAAGACGAGTGTTGCCAGAGCCGTTCTAGAAATATTGAGCTTGAATGTATTTCAAAATATTAATCTTTTACTTCCCATTGATCACTGGAGTGGCCATCTATAGCAATGTTACAAAATTTCAACAAACACGAAGTTGTAATACATTAATCGGCGTTACTTTTACTCTATATTGTAGCTCGAACAAAAGGCATGTTGCAAGAGCATTTTTCCATACTATTGATATGCATATTCTATCCTATTAATACTCATACGAATTTTATTACTGACATCATTTCAAGCTTTCTTTTTAATAAAAAACTATATTCAAGAGCTATAGTACTATAGACGAAGATATGACTGTGGATGTCGTGTGTGAATGTGGGTAAGAAAACAATAGTTCGTACCATGCTCATTTCTGATTTTCTCAGAATCCGATGGCAGAATTTCACACAGGTCCTTAGGATCGAAAGGTGTGAGAAACTCGACAAATATACGAGACAAATTTCTTCAGCCCTATCTCCATCGGATTCAAGAATGACATCATGAAGTGAAATTCGATTGTTTAAAAAATTTCTCATTTCCTTTCTAGGCATAATAAAACGATTCGTCAAGGAATAAAATCCTATTTTTCATTAAAATGCTTATGATTATGTCAAAAATATTCTATATAGATCATATTTGACTTACAATTTCACAAATCTTACAATACAGTGTGTCCCACAAGCTCCTTCCTAAAAGTTTTTTCAAACATCTTTACTACTTTATTTAACTTTATCGACAAACTTCTTTTTAAATTAAAGTTGGATACACCAAGTTTTATTTTCGATGGACGAATTCCAAAAGTACCCTTCAAGAGTATCACCTTTGATCAATATACAAAAAATTACTTTTCTATTTCTGGAAAAACACTATACAGTATTTCTTCCTGTATTATTTTTATTTTTTGAACTCTTCTGACCTTTAAATCGTCCAGGTCTCGAATAGTCTCTTGATAGATATTTGTTGTGAAGTCGGTTTGTAAGCGAACCTGTGGTATTTTGAATCAAAGTAACCGTTGTGCCATCATGGAACCTTCAATGAAGTCATCAAACTTATAGTGTGAAGTAGGGGAGAGAAGTTACCGTTACCAGTCCGTTACGTTACCACGTAACGGGTAACGGAAAAGTCCTGACTTCAGTCAGAAGATAGTCTATATAGCTTTTCAAGACCTATCTAGGGTCAGTCCCTGTAGGTTTTCAATACCTATCTAGAACAAGTCCTTATAACTTTTTGAGAGCTATTTATGGGCGCTCCTGTATAGTGGCGAATTCTATAACTTTTCAAGCCCTATCTAGATGTGTGGGTGTGGGTTTAGGTGGGTGTGAGTGTCGGTGTGGATGTGGGTGGGGTTGAGTGTGGG